TTATTTATTTATTTATTTATTTATTTATTTATTTATTTATTTATTTAACTTATATGCCGCCCACACTGCACGGATTAACGTCGCTATGCGAGGCACCACTGTTCAGTATATGGCAACACACAACCAAAATACTGCTTCATGGCATATTCACTACTCATAATTTGTTTCAGCTGCTAACCTTTGAATGTCATGACTTTCTCACTTCATATCACTACTATTGCTGACAAAGGGAAAGAGAAAGAAATAAACCAAATGTTGTGTTGCAGGAAGTGGGAATAAACAGCATAAGCAGTGCTCTGAGTAGCCAGATTAGCCTCCTCCCTCTTGTCCTTCTGTTGGCAGGCAAAGACATTCTTCTCTAAGCAGGCTTTAAGCAGTAAGAAGAATGCTGGTTTTGAACTTAACAGATTTTTAAATGCTTTTAAACTTGCTTTAAAAAACTTTTAATCTGTGTTTATTTGGTTTTTTAAATGTGATATTTGTATCATTTTTTTAAATCTGTACTTTTATCTGCTATGAGCTGCCTTGGATCCCCTATAGGGAGAAAGTTGGCATATAAATAATATAAATAAATAATTATGTCTAAGAATGAAGGATAATGAAAAGTTGAGGCAATTTAGGAGAAAAACCCCCAAGACTAATAATGTGGTCTGTGGAGTTATCCCTACTGAAGAAATTGTTTATGGATACTGACCTTGAATGGATCTTTGGCAGCCTCCTTGCATAAAAGAAGTTTCCATTGAGCTCCTTGGAATCAATGTTAATTTTTATAGCAATAAGGAACCTGATTTTTTTTCTTGCACGACTAAGTCTGCTATCTCAAGTGAGAGTTCCCATCCTTATATCCATTGGTGTAAGAAGTGTTCCCTTTATAGTGTTTATTGACTCTAAATATTTTCTTACATTGTGATAGTCAAAGACAACACTCTCTTCATCAATTGGCAGACCAATGACAGCAACAACACAGGTAATATTCGTATAATTATTTATAGATTCATAGATGACCATTCATGTATTATATAGAACTAGTTAAGAGACAGGTCATAGTGGTGTAGAATTAATACTAAAATTAAGGAATGAGATGCAGGTGGAAAATAAAGATATACTGCCAAGACTTCAGCCTTAGCATTAGTAATTATTTCTTCAGAAAACCATAATTTTTATGTCAAGCTGTGTAAAGAAAATTGCAGTGTGTGAAAAAGACATACTTTTATTATCTGTGTATGTTTTCCATAACCTTGGAGCAAACCACACTCTGATCAGTGGGGCTTGCTTTATCATGGGATTACACTTTTAACAATATAATGGTATAATTACTGAAGGAGAGATCCTTCTGAATGCAATCCTGTTCTCACTTACATTGGAGTAAGTATTACTGAATTCTAGAGCACTGGTTCTTAACCTTGAGTTACTCAGGAGTTTTGGACTGCAACTCCCAGAAGCCTTCACCACCAACTGTGCTGGCTGGGGTTTCTGGGAGTTGCAGTTCAAAAACATCCGAGTAACAAAGGTTAAGAACCACTGTTCTAGAGGACATATTTCCACCATCTCGCCCTCTGTCGTCCCCTTCTCCTATAGATAAATAGGTTTAATTTGAAGGACTTCTAATATTTGTGTGAAAAGGTCTGTAGACAGCAATAGACATAGTGTTCCTTTCAAATGTAAAAAGCTGGTGAAGCAATGACCTTTCATGATTCAGAAGAGCAGAAAAGTATTCCATCACATGATTCTAATGGCAATAGATGATTGACTGTCGTTGCCACCTTCTCCCATTCAATTGCCAGAAGATGCTCTTTGGTCCAGAGCTAATGTCATGTTGACACTGCGGAGTCAGTGCAATGCAATTCTTCCTCCCCTGCCATCCTTCAGAGCAACCTGGAAGATTTCCAAGTACTCAGGAACAGGTTTTGTCAGAATATGTTTAGCTCAGTTGGGACAAAACATTGCATCCTCCTATATTTATAATATAAGCAGTTTCCTCAGAAAATATCCCTCATTATATTTAAGCCATACTAACATATTTTTGTGACTTTATCTAATATAAGCATCATCAGTATCAAATATAGTAAATATTAGAACAATTTAGAGAACATTACAGGGTGTTACATGTATGTGCAGAGCTGATGCATTTTAGTAAATTGTGTTACGGAGCACTCCTTTGAATACTTACTCGTCTCACTGTATTCCATGGGTGTTACTTTCAACTAAATGTGCACAGTAATGCACTCTTCATAATTTTTATTCTGAATTTACAAAATAATACAATTTAGTGTAATCAAACTTCATCTCTGACTTTGGCCAGAATCCTGTTGGTATTTGTGGCATAAACTGGAAAGGATGTGATAGATAGCAGGCAAAGCATAAAATCTGTTTGGGTGTTTGCCCTTATGCATATTTCATTTTACAATAGGATTTTGGTCTCTTGTGTTCCGTTATTTAACATGAACATTGTTCTGCATTCTAATGCTTTTTGCCCCATGGTCATCAGCATAACCATGTCTTTGTTTTTCCCTTAAGGATGGGGTTGCTCGACCTATGACAGCAGTACAGGCAGCAGGTTTTACCAAAGCAGCTTCACGAGGTACATCTCATTAAAATCCTTGGCTATATTGCAAAAGTGCTTTTGCACAGTTCTCAGGAATATTTGTTCATCTGCAGGTTCTGCATTTGATCCTCTTGGTCAAGCAAGGGGCCCAGCTCCTCCCCTAGAAGCTAAAAATGAAGATAGGTATGTAGACATTTTTTATATGAATATGGAAACCATTGTACAACTAAAGTTTTGTGATTTTAAAGATTTGCAGTAATATTTAATCAAGATCCCATCATTTAGGATGTTTGGAGTAGGAAAATAGAATTACCGTATTTTTCGCTCCATAAGACGCACCTTTCCATAAGACGCACCAATTTTTTAGGAGAAGAAAACAGGAAAATATAATCTGTTTTCTTCGCTCCATAAGACGCACAGACTTTCCACCCCCCCTGTTTTGTGGGGGGGAAAGTGCGTCTTATGGTACTGATGTTTGGAGTAGGAAAATAGAATTAGTTTGGAAGAGTTTCTTTGCTGGATCTGTCTTGAATGTGTCATGTATGCTGTTTGGTTTTTACCACACATCACTATAGTACAATTAACATTAATATTGTGGAAAAAATGTATTGTTATCTCAGGATATCAGTACTGTGTACTCTCCTAGGGCTTGGATGCACATTGTTCATTCATTGATTTAAAAGGACAAACTGTTCATACTTCCAGCAGAAAAAAATGGAAACTTTGAGAAACAGAAAAAACTCCAGTAAAATTGTTGTAATTTGAAATGAGTGAAATGCTTTTTAATACAGGATTTTAATTGCTCAGAATGCCTGAAGCTGTACGGTGAGAAGATTTGTACAGAAATATTAATATTTATTGAATATTTAAATATATTGTGTGAAGGTATAAAGAGCTTTATGTAGAAAGAATAATATATGTTATTCATAGGTATGATGATTTGTGTGTGAGACAATCTGTAGAATTAGAGGGCAATAGTTCTTATGTATTCTTTAGACATATACAGTACTCACACCCAAGATACACTTCTACACCTAGTGTGTGCAGTTGGCAAATTTCATGGGAGGAGTGTGAGTTGACCAGCTTCTTTGCTTGTAGTTTGCTGACTTCCTTCTAATAGCACTCTTTTTTCAACTTTGATAGAAATGATCACAGTAAAAGTACAACTGTTTCTGTCCAAAGAATACACTGAAACACTTGCTTTTTTCATTATTGTTCCTACTTCTTGGATTTAAAAAAGCAAGATACATGTGCCACGGTACTGCAAGGCACAGCAGTTTCCTGTTCTCTTTTTACTGTTGGGTATAGTCACAGTTTTTGTGTACAAAACTCAAGGCTTTTGAATATCTGAATTTGAAAAATATGCCAAATACACAGTTCTCATAAATATGCCAAATAGTACAGTTAAATTATGAATGAAGCATTTTATGCTGTTAAATCAGTGTAGAAAATAAGTATTGCAAATATTTAAACTTTCTGCCACATATCCAAATCTGGAGGTTTTCCAGGGAAAAACCTGAAATACCCTGTATTTCAGGCTTTAAAATTTCCATTTATTTTACTTCTCTCGTCTTGATATTTGTGGATCTATGTCTATTATTATGATGTATGATTCTATTTGGTATTCTAACTTTAGTCCTGAAGGAAAGATTAAACAACTGGAAAAAAAAGTAAATGAGTTGGTTGAAGAAAGCTGCATTGCACACAGTTGTGGAGATTTAAAATTGGTAAGTCACTGACTTTAATTTGCGTTTTGGTCATCTGCTTTTATAGTTTTAAAACTTCCAGCCTATTTGTATATTGAAGATTGAAAGAGATTGGATGACTTCCCCAAATAAAATCTTTGCTAATGAAATTGTTTTATGTACATCATAAGATATACAAAAGTACCTACTCTATGAATTAATACATTTGGGAGTAGAATTAACACACTGATGCTAACACACCTACTGGGGCACCTGTGAATATGCTGATTCACGTAGCAAGAATACATAATAGGTTATGTGTGGAATATTAGTTAAGTATAACCTTTTCTTTCTGGCCACAATCCCATGCCTAATACAGATTCTTTTGGGGAAACTGAACTGGTAAGGACAATTGTAAATGCTTACCAACAGATAGTGTTACCAACAGTCTACCAGCCATTGATACAGTAGTTGCATGTATACACTTATTCTGCAAGTGGGTTTGTAAAGGAAGAAAGCTTTAGGGTTGAGAACCTAACTTCCTATGAATCTCGATGCTTGTTCTTTAAAAGCAGCAGTGCCTTAGTCTGTATGTCTGCAAAGACCTATTAGCAGTGCCTGGCAAAAACATCAGAAGGCAGTTCTATGAAGTGTCCAGTGGTTGTGGGCACAGCTTTGGTGTTATACATGGACCCTGTTGCTTGTCACTTACCAAATCCAAATTAATTATTTACATTAAACCTGTTTTGTGCATTTTTTCATTCTGGAAAAAGCTTAAAACTGGTTATAGAATGAGACTTCATTCATTCATTCATTTATTTGGTGCAAAATGCCCCACTGTTCATATTTTAGTAACATTGCTATTACAATTGAGTCAACTGTTCAAAAGCACTTGGAGATTTTGCCCAGCGTGTCTTGTATAAAACAGGAGTAGTGGTTTGGATGTAGCTGCATGAGCTGAAATATGTTTCTGCTCATGCAAAGGAGGATGGAGCAATTTTCAGTTAGTTGTCCCCTTTACCATGCCCTGCACAATTGCCTAATCTGATTATTGACTTCTGACAGCATGCTAGACATTGTAGTTGGAAAGAAATAGCAGGAATAGCCTGTTCCATGTGTGGTTCATATTTCTTCTTTAGCACCCAAGCCATCACAAATTTTGGGGCCATTATTGTTGCTAAATAAATGTTATTTGTTTACATTATGGTTTTCTGAGCTCTATTGGCACATTATTGTAGTTCTTTCCTCTGAAAGTTGCGTCACTAAACTGAACTGGATAGTAAACTTGTAGCCCCTACTTACTGCAGTATGTCTGTATGTGTGTTGTTGAAATAATTTTGGATATGTAGAAAGAATCTGTTTTCTGTATTGTTTTCTAAAGAACTTCCAAAAGTGCTACTTAAAAGTAAGATTTTTTTTTTAGGCTCTTGAGAAGGCAAAAGATGCTGGACGAAAAGAAAGAGCATTAGTAAGACAACGTGAACAGACCATGTCTCCTGCCAACATCAACTTAGATCTTACGTATACTGTAAGTGATTATACCTTATAGTTCAAATATCTACCATCTCTTCTCAAGGGCCTGGGAATCAGTTTAAGAAAACAATATTCATGCTGTTTTGGAATACCACGCTGTGTAATTCCATACACATGCATGCTCAACATTTGAAGAATGATAATAATCAAATGCTGTCTTTTGCAGGAAAAAAATTGTGAATATGTGAAATAGGACATATACATTTCCCTACTTTTCAGGCATCCATCTTTGATATTTAGATGACTGTTAACTTTACAGTCTTTGTTTTCAGACCTTTTCAACGATTTGATGTTTTAGATATCCATTAACTCCTTTATGTAACTGTTTTCTTCTGCTTTGCTGGGGGAAGCTCCCCTCTTATTATTTTGCTGTTTTAATGAAGCAATTTTAATTCAGTTGCTTTTGTTTGATTGGAGAAATGTTCCAACATGATCTCTTTTAGGTGCTCTTCAATTTGGCCAGCCAATATTCTGCTAATGAAATGTATGCTGAAGCACTAAATACCTATCAAGTTATAGTGAAAAACAAGATGTTTGTCAATGGAGGTAGGTTAAATTTACAAAATCAAAATATATGAAATGGGAAATTTTCATCATTGGAGTTTGAAATTTTCAAACTCCCTTTGAAAGCAGTGGAAGTTGAGGATCAGCTCTGTCTCATGATCCAAGCCTGAATTCTGGTCATTTCTGTGTGATTTGTCTGAAGTCATACTTATTTGTTAACTTCATGACAGAGGCTATTGATAGATATTTTCAATTGCACCTATATTTTACTAGTTTTCACTGTTTCAAAGGTAGTTTTTATCTGCTACAAAAATAATTTGATATATAGTCAACTTCTCTCCTTTTTCAAAGCAATGTTTATTCCACACACAAATGCCCCCTCTAATTATATTCTTAGGGTTACCTCAGACAGTTTGAAGGCCTCAGGATTATCTGTACCCTTCCCTTCTGTATGTGTACAAACAGCTGGAAATTAGCACCTGTTCCAGCACAGACTAGGTTAGTCTGGATTTCTGTTTCCCCTGAGTTCATGTTACAACAGAAAGATAAATAGTCATGGCAGATTCAAGGGCAACCCAATTGGATCAGTCATCTACCGCATCAAATCAGATTTTTTTTCTCATGGAAAGGGGTCAAGGGGACAGTGCACCAAAGTCTTCTACTGTACTCCCTACAGAAAATGCTAAAGGTCAGACCTGCGGATTAGAAGTAGCTGTGTTACTCTGTGCTAGTATATCAGGCCAAAAACAAAAGAAAAATAAAAAATAAAGAAGACAAAAACATAGTTGCACCTTAAATACGAACTGCTATATTTTAATATGAGCTTTTTTGGACAAAAAAGGAAAATGTCCACAACAATTATAGTTCCTGTTCAAATTATTTCATAATGATTTCATCAGGAACTTGGCTTCACTTACCTTTTAATTCCAGGAATCAAGAGATTTATTTTTACCAGTATACTTATAACTCAATTAGTTTTCCTTTTTTATATATTCTTCTACATTCAGGGGATAGATATTCTATATGTGTCTGTGCTATGCCTCATTCTGTGTATTGTTTGGTAGGCATGCTAAAGGTGAACATGGCAAACATTTATTTGAAACAGAGAAACTATTCAAAAGCGATCAAATTCTACCGAATGGCTTTAGATCAGATTGCAAGTGTCCATAAAGAAATGAGGTGAGTCCAGTAAAGGGAGACTCTTTTTATTGTTTGCTTTTATGATTTCCTATATAGGAAAGCCTGCTTGCTATTTTTCAGAAACTGTTTAGGACTTTTCTATGTTGAAACAGTTTTACCTGATTTCATTGTTATCTTAGGTTTATCTTGACTGGATGAAAGCAAGTATGTGTCATATCTGTCTGCTGTTTTCACATTTGGAATAAGGATGGGGAATATATTTAATTTAAAAGTGTGAATGGGTTGGGTGCATATGTAGCTCTGTTCTGCTTCTTTCATCTTATTATTCCATGTTCTGTCAAATGTGTATTTTTATCTCTCTGCTTAGCTCTGATATAAGAAGATAGCCAGGCTGGGGATTACATTCTTCAAAAGGCAGAATATGGGGAGATATAGTAGGGAAAGACTGAACTTCACTCTTGGTCATATCCCTTTTAGTGTAAAAAAAGAGAAGTCTTTGCTCTCCATCTTAGTTTATATGATAATGGAATAGGCCCATGGCTTCTGTCAGTGTACCTATTTAGACTCCTGATTGATTTGTGTTCTGTTGTTTAATGTTATTTAAATTTCATTTTAGTTGTTTTGTTACAATCTTTTGTTACAATTGTTTTTGCTGTTGCCCATGCTGTTAGTTAAAGGATGAACATTTTTTAAATGTAATGTAATATAGGACTTTAACCTTGATTTATTTCTTTAGGATTAAGATAATGCAGAACATTGGAATTGCTTTTATTAAAACTGGCCAATATTCTGATGCCATTAGTTCATTTGAGCACATTATGAGCACATCACCAAACCTGAAAGCAGGCTTCAACTTGATCCTCTGCTATTTTGCTACGGGAGACAGAGAACAGATGAAAAAAGCCTTCCAAAAATTGATTGCAGTTCCGCTAGAAATTGATGATGATGATAAATATATTTCACAAGGAGTAAGTATACATAAAGTTATTGATTTAATTTGTAGAGTAACAGAGTTTGAAATGTTGGGACAAATTTTGCTTTTAATGGTGTATTACTGTTGCAATGTATAGGTACCTTTCATGATAGGATACCTTACAACAACATGTTTGCAGCAGCTGAAGACTAATGCTGTCAAATGCTGTTTGAAGCAGGATTTCTGGCATCTTTTGTATAAACAGTTAGTGGGCAAAATCCTATTGCATAACTTTGTGCCAGCATAACCCAGATTGGGCTTCAGAATCATTTGATTTACATTAATTAAAGCTTCCTATCCTCCTCTTTTTAGGTTCCAATGCTCACTAGGGCTCCCTTTTGCCCTGGGGAAGCCTTTGGGAGTTTGAGATATGGAAGTGGTAAGCTTTAATAGGTAAAAAAATCACCACTGAATCACCATTGGCAGTCCCAGTTTCACTGATGACAATCTGACAGTGATTTTTCACTATTAAAGGCACTCTCCCACCCTCATTCTTAGTCTCTCAAAGGCTTCTTCACTGTGAAAGGGAGCCCAAGGGAGCCTTGAAACCTAAAAGGAGGGCGATAGGAAGCTTTTAATTGTAAGGTCAGAGATTCTGATGCCTGAACATCTTCCCAAGAGACATATAGTACTTTATAGACTATGGAAAAATCAGAAGCCTACATTAATCATAGCTGGCATTTTATCACCAAAAAAGGGTTAATTCCACAATTAAACCAAACAATATTTGACGATCATATCAACATTAATCTATCACTATTGCAATAATTCCAGGCAACCTCGGCTTGTCTAATTCTACAGCCTTTATTTATCTACATTGCTTATTTGTTCCATATGCAGAAAATACTTCAGAACAGTTGTAAAACTACAAGTCTTACAGCTACAAAAAAATTGTAGGCCAAATGCTTAGACAGAAATCCATCCTTGCAATTTGTGAAATTGTATCATTTCCATCAACATTCTTACAACTATGAGAAGCTGCAAACAAAAGTGCATTCAGCTTGAGTTGTAGGCAGAACTTAAATTGTATTTGAATCAAAAAATACAGGAGCTTATTATTGAGGACATTAGCAGAGTTAGGAGATATTAGTTTGCATAGACAGTATAACACTGTGAAGGTAAAATATCAACTTAGTCTATTAATATATATAGAGAGAGAATAGACATTCATCTGGCAGCATAACATGATAATGATACAACACATAGCAAAGAAAAAAGTGACCTGACTTACAGCAGATATACATGGCTTATATACAGTTCTGGGACCAATCAGAAAATAGTTTACTTTATTTTCCAGTTACATAAAGTTTCATCATGTATCACAGCTGTACAACATTAAATCTCAAACCTTGATATCCACACCTGAATACAATCAGTACATGACTCAGGTAAAATCAGCCATTTATACTTTCAACTATACAACATTTTGCTTTCAACTATACATATTCATATCAAAATCTCAACACTTATAGCCTAAAACGTATGTTTAAAAACAAAAGAATCCTTCTCCAAAACACCAACATTCTTAAAAGTAAAAATAATTTTTAAAAAATAATAATGTTCTTAGACTCTAAGCATATTAAGAAGACAAAAAAAATTACTTTTGGTAATGTTCTCACCCACCCAAAGCAGACTTGTGCACTTTACATATAGAGAGAAAAATCCATGTTGACTGTTGTTTCTGTCTGGTGTGTGTGGTATAGCATGGAGCTGCCTTGTGATGATGAATTGAATTCCTAAATTTATGTGTGTGTGTCTTACTTCCCTTTATTTATAATTCAGTTGTCCACATCTCCCCTGAATATGTAAATAATTTCTTTTCCAGATGACTGGAAATCCAAAAGTTTGTTATGCCAAGAATAATTTTTCGATAGGAAATGTTATTGTTCCTGAAATCTTTGTAATCTCATATGTTTTGTAACCTGATAACACCATTGTTATGACTAAAAACAATTTGGAACTTAGAATAATAATGCTCTGTACCATTAAGCATTTTTTTCTGCTGGGATAAAAAAAGGTAAAGGTTCCCCTTGACAATTTTTGTCCAGTTGTGTTCGACTCTAGGGGGCGGTGCTCATCCCCGTTTCCAAGCCATAGAGCCAGCGTTTGTCCGAAGACAATCTTCCGTGGTCACATGGCCAGTGCGACTTAGACACGGAACGCTGTTACCTTCCCACTGAGGTGGTCCCGATTTATCTACTTGCATTTGCATGCTTTCGAACCACTAGGATACTGTCACCCTAAAATTCTGAAACACTAGACCAGTGGTTCTTAACCTTTGTTACTCGGATGCTTTTGAACTGCAACTCCCAGAAACCCCAGTCAGGACAGCTGGTGGTGAAGGCTTCTGGGAGTTGCAGTCCAAAACTCCTGAGTAACCCAAGGTTAAGAACCAGTGCACTAGACCATTGTGAACTGAGAAAACTATAATCACCAAAAAGGTGCACTAAGACTTAAAGATGCCACTTCATGTTTGCACATTGTAACATAAACAAGTTCATTATAACATAAAAAGTTCAGTTGTCAGGAATGTTCTTGCTCAATGACCCTGCTCAGCTTAAGTTCAGTTATCAGGAATGTTCTTGCTCAATGACCCTGCTCAGCTTGAGAGCTAATTGTTTTGGAACAACTATAGTAAACTATTACTCAAACATCAAGCCACTTTAAATTTCAGGGCTACATTCAGGGCTACTTTTTCAATACATTTTAATTATTTTAACATTTTATATTCACCAAAATTCAAACCTTGACATAATTACTTTAAATTAAATTGTCCCAATGACTAATCCAAGCTGCGCTACACAAAGTTGCCCCAATAGGATTTTGCCCAGAAAATGTTACAAATAAACATAGTCTGTGTCATCCAATATAGTATATTTATATATAGACCTAAACATATATTTTTGTAGGGATGAATTAAGAAATAATGAGGTGATAAGGTATTGCAAGTACAAGAAGCCCATAGTAATATAAAAAGTATGTTTTTAAAACACCACTAAAATATGTTTTCATTTTAAACTCCCCCTCCCGGAAAAAAAGCCTTTTCACGTTCTAGTGAAAATTTAATTTAAAAAAATCAACATTGGACATTTGGGGTCAGGAGCCCACGGGTACTGCTCAAACATGGCAAAAATAACTCTTCATTCTCTAGAGCAGTGGTCCCCAACCTTTTCTGAGTTACGGGACCACTGAGTTGGGGGAGTGGGGTCCATTTGCAAGGAGGCACCCCCCTGCACTCATTGGGGATGGAGGGCCCTTGGGGAGGGGAGGGGCACATTTGCATGCCTGTGCAAAGGTGCAGAGTGCGCTCGCAGAGGGGCGGGGCACCTGTTCGTGCGGGTGGCGGGCCGTGCGGGTGGGTGAGGGGAGTGCGTGTGGGTGAGAGGAGTATATGGGGGGGGGCGGGAGATCTGTCTCTGCAACCCAGTACTGTCATGGCCACAGACTGGCACTGGGCCGCAGACCAGGGGTTGTGGACCCCTGCTCTAGAGTGTTCCCTAGAGCAAAATTCTTCTTTACAGTAATTGTTATTTTTTAATTGTATGAATTCTGGTGGACCGCCAGCGTTTTTTGTGTGCACGTCTGTGTATCTATGCATTCATATCTGCTGTTTATGTAATTGCCATGGATTTTCTTTTCCTTATTTAGGATGATGCACATACAAACTTACTAATAGAAGCTATTAAAAATGACAGCTTGCGGCAAATGGAGCGTGAAAGGTAAAAGTGAGCATCATTCTTCTTGCATAACCTCAAAGGATCTTACGTTTTATTAAAATGTTTTAAAAAAAAGCTGAACAAAGGTGTGATCTAATTCAGTGAATGGGAAATTCAACATTTTCTCTCTTTCCTTCATGTTTATGTTATCTACCCCTAGGCAATCAGACAAGATCTTGAAGCATGACAGCAGTCAGCAAATGTTTATGGCAGGCTTTATCTCCTCCTCTTAAATCATAGTAACATTCTCTGGCGATAAACATTTGTCTACTATCAACCCACACACATATGCACACAATCAGTTTGCTCTATAGTTTAATTTGTGGTTTTTGTATCGCTCTTTCTGACCAAAGTAAAGAAGAGTCTGTGTGATAAAATAGGATAAGGAGGATCTATAATAAAGCATTGCACTGTGGTGTGCCCCTGTTCAAAGCTCCTGCCAGACACATTCAATTTTCTCTCCCTCTTGGATCTTTTATTTCTCTTCTTTCCATATTTCTCCCTAGCAGCATTCCTTGGCTACTATATGTACTCTGTTATTATTAGGTTATTTGGGTTCCCCAAAATCATTGGGGATTTTTGTATGTATATGCTTGGGGGCTTAATTCTTTCTAAAAAAACAGAGGAAGGGAAATTTGCTTGTGAAGGTCTCTCTGGAGAGAGGGCAGTAACTAGTTTTGCTTATATAAGAATCCATGCTTATAGAATGAATTCTGTATCAGTTTACATCATGCACATGTTGCTGCTTGTTTATATATCTGATGAGACGGACTATACTGCACAAAAGCTTATCATAGGGGGAGGATTTCTATGATATGTCATATTTTTTCTGTAACCTGTGTTTAAGCTTATGGTGTTTTTGTGTGTGTTTAAGTAATCTGGTGAGAAAGGCCAGATTACTCATAAACATGTTTGAACTTGCTTGTGGGTTCAAATGTAGGTTCTATTTCTCCCTAGCAGCATTCCTGTCATCAAAATCCTCCCTGTACAAGTTACCATATACAGTTTGTAAAAGGTTGCAGGGTTTCTGGTGGTTTTCCCTGCTAATAATCATAGAAATCATAGAAAAATGAAGTTGGAAGGGGCCTACAAGGCCATCAAGTCCAAATCCCTGCTCAATGCAGGAATACAATGGCTGCTATCCTCTTAGATTTTCAGGTTGCAGAGTGAAACTTGCAGAAGTAGATGCTGCTATTTCGTGAAGTGCCAGTCATGTGACCAAATAGCCATAATTCCATAACTGCAGTTCTATGCCTGGAAAATCCAATAAGATAATGTTGAATTTTTTTTAATACCACCTTTGTCATGTTCAGACACTCTGTATGTGATAGGTTTTTTTTCTCCTGAAATAATTCCTTGTGTTTTTAAGGAAAACTACAGCAGAAAAGTATATCATGACAGCTGCTAAATTAATTGCACCAGCAATTGAAACATCATTTGCAGTAGGCTATGACTGGTAGGTGGCATTTTTCAGTTGACCTGCTATTCTCAAATCACATGATCTGGAATAGTCCCATGGAAATTAGTGGCTCACAACTACATGCTGAACTTGCCCGTTCCTACTTTTTTTTTTAAGTCTTACATTTTAAAATGCCATATTTTCAAGTATTTAAACATCTTTTCTTAATTATGCATCCAAATGATTTTCTCTCTCGAGGGCTGTGGTTCCCACCATTTTTGAGTCACAATCCCCCTTTATAATAACTGAATAACCCATACCATGTTTGCATAAAAAGGCATTTTTAATGGGGGTAAAGTTATCCCTTCTCAGAAAGTAGAGGCTTTTATCTCCCCCAAAGGGTGTGTTTATCATACATGCACCTACATACTAACTTTAATATATGTCTCCAAAAGGTCAAGAAAGAAATAATTTATCAAGGGCTACAACACATAGAAGGTGACCCATGACTCCCCAGAAAACACTTTCTTGACTTCCTTGGGGATCATGACCCCCATATTGGCATACCATGCTTTTGGGTCACAGGCAGTGCCTGAAATTAAGTGAAAAACCTAATTTATTCATTGCACATATTGTTTTCAAAGCTTCCTAATCTTATAGGTCAGTGGTTCCCAACCTTGGGTGCCCAGATTTTCTTGGACTACAGCTCTCAGAAATCCTGACCAGCACAGCTAGTGGTGGTGGCGGCTTCTAGGAGTATTAGACCAAGAACATCTACAGACTCAAAGTTGGGAACCACCATTATAGGTGATCCAGTTAGTGTCTTGGAATATAAAGTCGCTGATTCAAGTTCACCATGATGTAGAAGTTCCTAAATGGTCCTTGACAATTGACCAAGCTCAACTTCTGCCTCTGTCTGCAGCATAAAATAATACTGAGCTGCAGTATAAAGTAGTTGTGAGGCAGGACTACGCAATCTTTACTTTGGCAGGAGATACTGGGTTCATCAGTTCCATGTGGTAGCCCAAGTCCTTAATGAGCCTCCCCATTATCTGTCTTGATCTTTGAAGGATAAGGATTTCTCAGGGACTTAGATGGCTTCAGTGCAAATTGGATCCTAAAACCAGTTCATACAACTAGCTGTTAATGGATGCTTGGCAAAGACTAAGCAGTTGCTTTCTTGACTTGCAGAAGCTCATTTTAACAAAGTTAATGTTTCTCTTTTTGATTTTGTCACAGGTGTGTAGAAGTAGTAAAAGCTTCCCAGTATGTGGAGTTAGCCAATGACCTGGAAATCAATAAAGCAATTACATATTTGAGGCAAAAGGATTTTAATCAGGTATAGTGTTTTCATAAAATCTTGGTAAAAGATTGCACAGAAGCTTAATCAAAACAATTAGAAGAGTAAACTATCCCTCAACAACTGAGAGTAGACTATTGTTATGACACTGTAAAACAGAGAATTCAAATGTTTGCTTTTCCCATTTTCATTGGCATTTTCATTGGCATTTGAATTTTTACTGAGGTATGGACCAAAGGTTAATGACAGAACTAAATCTAATAACATTTCAGCATGATGAAGAAAATATACTTGAGTAGGATAGTAGTATTGTACTTACAGCTAGATATGGAGCTGCTACATTGTTCTGTCTTCACTCATAGGGAGTATTTACTGTTCCCTGGATGGAGTGGGAATACCCACAAAATTTAGCAGATGTTTTCTGTAGCACTGGGAGGGCAGCCACCTCTTTAAATTTAAAGCTAATTTAAAACAATTGCTGTTTTCTAAACTGTAGAAATGTTTAAAAGTTATTTAACATTGTTTTTTAGAGAATGGAAATATTTGCTAAATACCGATAATTGGGGCCTTAATAAAATTTTTAGTCCCAATTACAGTAGACCCACTAGGCAGAACCCTGTTAGATCTTTACATATACTGGAGAGATTTCAGAAGTTGCAATGGCTGATAGATGAGTGCCAGCCCTGTGTCACTTACATAAGACATAAGACATAAGAAATTTATTTGTCATTGCGCTCACAAGTGGGTGCAACGAAATGAGGTGCTCTTCCCCAAGGTAAAACTGGACAACACTACAAAAAAAAAGTTAAAATATACACAACTTTCACCATCCAAATATAGATACCCCGTTTTCTCTCAGCAATTAAAAAGTCCACCAAAAACTTATGGCCCCGCATTTAAACTCAATACTGCACTTGGGTAAAAACTGTTCTTGAATCTGCTTGTCCTTGCTTTCAATACCCTGAATCTCCTTCCTGATGGTAATAGTTTAAAGAGCTGATATCCCGGATGAGAGGAGTCTTTCAGTATGTTAGATATCTTCCTCTTACATCTGTTCTTATACAATTCTTCCAAAGAGGGGAGTGAACAGCCAATGATGTTTTGGGCCGTCTTAATCACCCTTTGAATTGCCTTTTTCTCTGCCACTGTGCAGCTCGTGAACCATACACAGAGACAGTAGGATAATATGCTCTCAATCGAACTCCGATAGAAGGTGGTTAACAAACTCTCAGTCAATTGTTGCTTTCTAAGAGTCCTTAGGAAATACAACTGTTGTTGTGCCTTCCTGATTAACGCAGCGGTGTTTGCACTCCAAGTCAGGTCATTTGTTATGATGGTCCCAAGAAACTTCCATTCAACCACCTGTTCCACACAAACTCCATCTATATACAGTGGCTGAATGTCTGCTCTTTTTTCATGTCACTTACATGACTGGTCAAACCCCTGCACCTCATCAATTAGCTTTGAAAACTTCCATGATTCCTCTTGCCTGTGTATAAAACCTCAATAGGACTCTGCCCATTTAATTGAAAACTTTTGACTTACCATTCTGTAATTGATCCGGTAGGTCTGCTCAAATGGAGATTAGCAACTAGATTTATGCTTAAGAGTTTCAGCTTCAGAAGGGATAGATTTATTCACCCAAACAATATGACTGGAATATTCTTCTTCATTAGTTCTGACCTGCCGTCTATAAAGGACACATGGCAATCAACATTCCTCCTTCCCAAAGAGAGATCAGCCTGTACTTCCTTTTAAAAACAACATTTATATGGTTTATTCTCAAAGGCTTTCATGGCCGGGATCCAGTGGCTGTTTTAGGTTTTTCGGGCTGTTTGGCCATGTTCTTCGGAACAAGGCTAAACAGCCCGAAAAACCTACAACAACCATTTATATGGTTGTTTAATCCTGTAAAGAGTAGAAGAACCAGAAGACTCCTAAGACTCAAGAATCTATGGCTTTTGGCAATCATAGTCAAAGACACTGGTTCTTAACCTTGGGTTACTCAGGAGTTGCTCAAGAATCTATGGCTTTTGGCAATCGTAGTCAAAGATAATCAGAAGTCCCAACATTGGGAACCACTGCTCTATAAAAGGCAGCTTATCACTTCCAATTACTGTATACTACTTCTGCATAACACTATAAGAAACTTTCACTGAACATATAGAAGATACCACAGAACTTGCTAAAGATAATCAGAAGTCCCAACACTGGGAACCACTGCTCTATAAAAGGCAGCTTATCACTTCCAATTACTGTATACTACTTCTGCATAACACTATAAGAAACTTTCACTGAACATATAGAAGATACCACAGAACTTGCTATACCATTCCAAGTGGTTACTGAGCTTGTATTGATCAATTCCTGTTCATCCAAATCAGTTCAAAAGGTGTGTCAAGAATTTAGTCTCCCATGATTAAAATTTGAAATAATGTTCTTTGGAGCAAACCACAGCCCAGCAGCCTTTGTGCAAGATGACGCAGGGATGATTTGTAAGCATTTCTCTGCATATTTCAAAAATGAAAAATGAAAAAAACTCACTGTGAAGGCCAAGTGAAACTGCCCATTCCACAGCTGCCTGTTGATCTGACCCAGCAGCCTTTGTGCAAGATGACGCTGGGATGATTTGTAAGCATTTCTCCTAAAGTTCTCTGCATATTTCAAAAATGAAAAATTAAAAAAACTTACTGTGAAGGCCAAGTGAAACTGCCCATTCCACAGCTGCCTGTTGATCTGCCTTTTTGAATGAAACAGAAAATAACATGAAAAAGAAACAGGTCCCTAATCCAAGGTGGTGCTTTTGTTGTTACAAAATTTTGGGGAGGAGAACTGTGCAGTGATATGTGCCCTTTGCAGAGAGTAAACAGATTAATGTTTTAGTTACCGCATTCTCATTTTTAATTAACATGTTAAGTACATGTACTGGGCCGGCAAAGCAAGAACCATCTAACTTTTGAAGAAGACAGAACTAGAAATAATCCTCCTTCAAAGCATTGCTTGCTAGCAGTGATATTAATAGGAGTAGCCAGGAGGTTCTTGAGACACTCAAATTAAAAACATCTCACAAAACACTCCAAATGTCAGCAATCTTGTTGGGCACCTATAGTGGGCTGATGGGCAAACTGCACTCACTCCAGCTTTAGCGAACAAATTATACCATAAGAAAAAAAATTAAAAACTAAAATGATCCTTGGGGTCCCTTTCAGACTTACATTTCCATGTTTTTATGATTCTGTTTGGCAAGCTCATATTCTTGAAGCATCTGGCAATAAGGTAATCAGTATACAGTATTAGCCAATTGACAATACTGTATTTGACTAGTCAGCTGACAAAATATGACTGTTCAGTTGACAAGGGTTGCTAATTGGATAGGTTTAATTAATATAATGTTCGTGTCCTAGATGTTTCTCTTCTGTTCATGTATTTTATTTCTTATTACTCAGATCAGTTGTCTCTGTGTTTAAAAGTTATTCTTTCTTTCCTTTAATTATTCTTTTCTTCTTTTGTACTGTCTTTCACATTTCTTTGGTGTTGTAAGTATGATGAGGTAGGTACTGAACCAATATTAATCACAATAACAGTTTCCCACAGGTTTAGCATAGGGGCGCCAGCACTGCAAGGACAAAATATACTGATGTGATGTGTATAAATGGATAGGCAAGTCACTGGGAACTTTCCCCCCTACAACCCGAAACCAGCTTTCCCTGTCTAGTGAACTGATTACTAATTTACTCATTTGTTTGTTTTTTCGTTTCATTTATAGGCTCACAACATTAAAAGAATATAATGAAAAACATAATGAGATAAACATAAAAAAAACAAACTACAGTGGTGCCCCGCATAGCGATGTTAATCAGTTGCAGGATTAATGTCGCTATCTGGAAACATCGCTATATGGAATGTAAAACCCCATAGGAACGCATTAAACTCCATTTAATGCGTTCCTATGGCGTGAAAACTCACCAGTAAGCGAAGATTCCCCATCCGGCCGCCATTTTCGCCGCCTTGGTAAGCGAGGGCAGGTCGTGAAAATGCTGCGGGCGGCCATTTTATTCTTCCGGCGGCCATTTTGGAACCATCAATCAGCTGTTTTTAGATCATCACAAAGCGATTTTCGCTCATTGGAATCATCGCAATGTGATCGCATTAGCGATCGCAAAAAACACATCGCTATGCGGATTCGTCTTTAAACGGTGCGCTCGTTAAGCGAGGCACCACTGTACTGTATACTAATTAAAATACAATTGAATAATTAAAGACATTAAGAATGATAATAGAAAAGGCATTCAGGGGCTCAGTCAAAATTGCTAAAAGCCTGCCTGAAAAGATGGGTTGTCAGCTGTCAGCGGAAGGATAAAAGGGAGGGGGCAGGCTGATCTCCCAAGGGAGAGCATTGCATAACCTGGGAGCTACCACAGAGAAGGCCCTGTCTCTTGCCCCCATCAACTGTCCCTGTGCTGGCATTGAGACCTCACATGAAGTGTGTTATAGTAATCCAGGTGGGATGTAACTAAGTCATGTGTCATTGTTGTAGCCAAATTAGACATCTCAAGTGAACGGGTGCAGCAGGCACACCAGTTTTAATTGTGTAAAAACACTCCTGGCTACTGCCGAAACCTGAACATTCAGGGTCAGGGATGAATCCATGAATACACCCAAGTTGCAAATGTGAGAATTTTTAGGGGGAGTGTAACCCCATCCAGTCTGACAAAGTGGTCTTGTCCATGAAAGCTCCCATTAAACATATAAAAGCTAGTCTTTAAGGAACCACCATGTTTTGTCTATTTTTTTAACTCTTTATTTTTATTTTGTTTTTACGTATAAAATATACCATGTATTTTTATAATATCCGATACCATTAAAATAGAAATGTGGAGTCACAGAAAAACCACTTCAGGGAAGGTAAAAGGATGGGGAAGAGAGGCCAGTGATAGTAGCCATTTGCAGGAAGTGAGCAAAGTGCACTTGGCTGTAAATAGTTTCCTCTGAGTTCAGTCACAGAGGAAGCCTGGAAATACAACTAAAACATTGTGCAG